TGAGCCGACAAACAGCTGATCAGCTGTTTGTCGGCTCAGCGCAGCAGCCATGTAAATGTAAATGAAGCCGCGATCATTTAAATCGCGGCTTCATTTGCCTTTGCTGATCTGTCTAATCTACATGCCTCTGCCGACAGAGGCATGTAGTCTAGACACAGCCAAAGATGTAGCAAGACCAGTTGTTGGCTTTTAAAGTTTTTCTTCTTCCTGTAATTGCTGTGGCACTTAGTCATCTGGTACCTTTCTGTTCTCAGAACTCTAGAGAGAGTCTCCAGGGAGTCACAGGAAATGTCTTCTTAACATGGGCCAAAGACTCAGGCCCAGTATTCTGTGTAAGCTGAGCACTTGAGATTCAAATGCTGCCTAGCTAATTAGCAGAGTGCCCACAGCTGACAGCATGTGTGTCTAATGTGGTGCACATCAGATCAAAACATAATGCACATAAAATTTATTCCACACATGGATGAAAAAAAAATTAGAAGGAGCATTGCTCAGGACCACATTCCCAGGGACATTAAGCAAAGTGCTCCCTTTATCATCTTTAGATCGCTCTGCACAGCCCACTTCTATAATAAAGTATTTCCCAATTAAGCAAAGCAAAAAAAAAAACAAACAGCAGGGTATTAAATCAGAAGCCACTGATTTAACTCAAACACCGGATGGACAGATCCCATGGTTTTTCTGCATCCATATTTTAGCATTGTGATGTATTCTAGAAATGCTGAGAGAGAGAGAGCATGTGAAGAAAAGAGATCTGAATTCACTTTGTGACATTATTTACTTGAATAAACCAAAACTGAACCAAGGAAAATATTAACTTAAAATATTAACAACAAACTGTGACCTTACTATTCTGGAAGGAATGGTCAGCTAACATCCCATCTTTTTGGCAGAAGGAGAAAGCTTGTATAATTCCAGCTGACGTTCACACCTGTGTAGCCATAGCTGAAAATAAAACAATCTTTCAACTAGAGAAGAAACAAACCGAGTGCCCTTGAATTTTCAAAGAAATATAACTCCCCCTTTAGCTCTAGGACAACATAGTCTGTTTGTTGGAAAGCATACTTAGTAGCTAGCTACAAATCTCTTCATTGTAAGACTGAATGATTGTCATGCATTTTGTTTTCTTTGTCTCAGTTGATAGTATCTGTAGTAGTATTCAGAGATAGGAAATATGGGTCTGTCACTGTACCTATCTGAAAGTAGCAATACCCTCTAGCTGCAATACTCCACTTTATGGAGTTTTATTAGTATAATGAATGAAAGCCCAGGAGCACACCCTCTAACGCCTCTCAACTTTGTATTTTAAAAGCTATCATTATTAACAAAGAAAAATAACTAGCAGCTTGTTTTATGTACCCTTTGTTAAAAGGCTCCACATATTTTTAAGGAGGGTTTAATCTACAATAATTTGTCATCAAACCTTCAGCATGAATGTAATATAATCCATATGAATGCAAAATGTTCTGCAGGACATTTGTAAACATAATGCAATCATGTGTTTGCATTTGTGACTCCCAAGTAGCTAGCAGCAGCTGTATAAACTTTTACACAGAAGATATACAGTGTGAATGAGTACAGTTGTGTATTGTTGATTATATGTGATGCTTTCATTATGCTTTCATTTTATTAACCATATATGTTCATAAAAGAACAAAAATGTATTTTGGTTGATTGTTGTTTTAAACATTTGATCCCAAAAGACACATAATGTTTTCTAAAATGCACCTGTTACTTTGCAAAAGTAACATATCTTTTCATAGCACCAAGTACGCGTGTGTACACACACATACCAGGCTGCATATATGCACTAAAAAGAACCTATTTATTTAATAAAATGGATTACTGTTTCATTATAATTGCCTTAGTTGCATGCCTTATGTTAACAACAGACCAGCTCTGAAGTCAGTGGTAAACTTCTCACTGACTTCAGTAGCCATTGGATCAGGCCCAGTGGAAGTTTGGGCTGTAAAATGACTACCTGAGTAGGCCCTATATTTACTTTGTTAATCTATTGACAGTATCCCATTGGTTTATTAATTGAAGTAGATATACATCATACTGTTTTTATTATCACTGTTGGGAAGAGACTGGGAAACCCATCTGTCAAGTCCAAAAGGTAAAAGACTATTTGCAAAATTCTGAACCATTCCGTAAGAATATGTTCTTAATGCCCTTAGAAATGTCAGTGAGATAATCTCAAGACCTCCTATTTCAACTTTATCTTGGCGCATAGGTATGCTCTGATGCCTCCTGCATTACAGGGCTTCCATCATTTCACCTTTGGGTGATGAATCCTTCTGTGATAGCCTTTAGGCTGTGGAACATGTTCTTCAACATCTGTCTTAGCTATAGCCCCGTCACATAAAAAAGACAGTTGTAACCACTTTATTATTAAGAGTTTCATGTTTTATCCATATCAGCACTCTCTGCACACGTTTGTACAGGGGCTGCTGTGTTGGATATTTAGCTTTGTGTGTGTGTATGCTTTATTCTTTCTGGATTATGTTCTTGCTATTGTTACATTTTAGCTGGACAGTATCATGAATGCCTCAAACAGGAGGGAGTAAGTGAGGAGAGAGGATATATAAATACAATTATTTGCTATTTATTAATCTTTATTTGCAATGCAATAGCATTCCTGATTCTTCAGCTTCATGAATGCAGAACTAAGACAGCACTCTTGGAAATACAAGATGACTTCAGAATGTTCAGGAATTGATTGACTGCCGAAGATATGAGGAGATGGCGTCCCAACATTCAAAATAGGTGCCCATTGATTTCAATGGGAATTCATAGGCAATAACATACAATGATTGGGAACTGGTTCCTTTCAATATGCCAGACATATTACTTAAGCCTTTATGTTCCTCCAAAAATGAGTCACTTCCTACTTTTATATAGTTTGCATGTTTGCCCTACCAATAGGCTAATGGGCGCTTCCTTTTTTATCCATGTAAACTAGCCAAAAACTACTGAAGGAAGTCGACTTCAATCATTTAGACAACTTGTCCTAATAAAACATGCTCATATATTACTTCTCTTTTCTTACAGCCTGCCCTGCCTTATAAGACCTATTCAAGCATCTCAACCCGCAACTGGAACCCAAGTTTCCAGGTGTACTTCAGAGTGAAGGCATTACTCATAAACCTCATCATTTGAATATGTAAGATTAAATTAGCCACTAGAAGAAATTTCAATGTACCCCTGGGTTACAGATGGGTAGGCAGTTTTATTCCCCGCATTATTCGAATCTAGTACCTGGTTAAGTCTCATCTACTGCATTATTCATTGTCATATTTTTAAATTCTACAAACTTCCTTCAGTTTAATCTACATTTTCCATCTAACCACATCTACCGAGAGAACTAAGTACTGTACAACATTTGAACAGACATCAGTCGATACAATTTACTTCTTTTTTCTCATGACTCCATGAAGCTTTGTCTTTTTTCCTCTACCTCCTCGTCTTAAGGCAGAGTTTGGACACACTGAAACATATGCTTTCCTTAAGCCATATCAGTGGAACTTACAATATAAAAAGACAAGATATCACATAGTCATTCAGAAATATAATTTGAAAACAAAATGGATCTGAAACAAAATGACATGCTAGCTATGTACCCAAGTAATTAGTGGGCATAAGACCTTTAGATATACACCTCCAATGAATGCCAGAAGTTCACTCTGGCCAAATGTCAGTCCTTTTGTGTTTATAATGACTTTGTGGGGCTTTGTCAGTGTTCCCTCCTGCTCTTCCTTAATGCTGGATAACAGAGTTAGCTTCTAGCTGCTTTATAACTGGGCTTTATTAGTTATGACTGCTGTTATTTTTGCTGATGGTTATTCTTTTTGAGTTCTTATATTTCTGAGTGGATGTGGACCATGCATGCCTTCTCCTTCCCATTTATCTCTATACATATGTCACAAGTACAATGCTTAGCCCACAGACACTTTGCTATATTGGTCAGGAGTGCAAAATATTCTTGAACTTGTGTTTTGCTATGTGAAGGGGTGTATGCATACCCCCTTGTAAAGGGGCATGTATGTACCCCTTTCTCTCCGGTGCTTTGTCTCTATTTCAAGTTCTAGCCATCTAATCTGACAGTCTGGCAGTCTGTAAGAGTCTCAGTTTACAAGAGTCTGTATATTTGCCCCCGCCCTTGGTGGGTGGGGTAGGGAGACCCGGACCTGGCCTCTCTCACGGGTCCCAGCCCAGGGCCCTAAGGACAGGCTTTAGCCAGGTTCCTATCTGGCTGACAGGGCTTCCTGCCGCAACTTGCCAACCCACAGGCTTCAAGTAGATATACATCATACTGTTTTTATTATCACTGTTGGGAAGAGACTGGGAAACCCATCTGTCAAGTCCAAAAGGTAAAAGACTATTTGCAAAATTCTGAACCATTCCGTAAGAATATGTTCTTAATGCCCTTAGAAATGTCAGTGAGATAATCTCAAGACCTCCTATTTCAACTTTATCTTGGCGCATAGGTATGCTCTGATGCCTCCTGCATTACAGGGCTTCCATCATTTCACCTTTGGGTGATGAATCCTTCTGTGATAGCCTTTAGGCTGTGGAACATGTTCTTCAACATCTGTCTTAGCTATAGCCCCGTCACATAAAAAAGACAGTTGTAACCACTTTATTATTAAGAGTTTCATGTTTTATCCATATCAGCACTCTCTGCACACGTTTGTACAGGGGCTGCTGTGTTGGATATTTAGCTTTGTGTGTGTGTATGCTTTATTCTTTCTGGATTATGTTCTTGCTATTGTTACATTTTAGCTGGACAGTATCATGAATGCCTCAAACAGGAGGGAGTAAGTGAGGAGAGAGGATATATAAATACAATTATTTGCTATTTATTAATCTTTATTTGCAATGCAATAGCATTCCTGATTCTTCAGCTTCATGAATGCAGAACTAAGACAGCACTCTTGGAAATACAAGATGACTTCAGAATGTTCAGGAATTGATTGACTGCCGAAGATATGAGGAGATGGCGTCCCAACATTCAAAATAGGTGCCCATTGATTTCAATGGGAATTCATAGGCAATAACATACAATGATTGGGAACTGGTTCCTTTCAATATGCCAGACATATTACTTAAGCCTTTATGTTCCTCCAAAAATGAGTCACTTCCTACTTTTATATAGTTTGCATGTTTGCCCTACCAATAGGCTAATGGGCGCTTCCTTTTTTATCCATGTAAACTAGCCAAAAACTACTGAAGGAAGTCGACTTCAATCATTTAGACAACTTGTCCTAATAAAACATGCTCATATATTACTTCTCTTTTCTTACAGCCTGCCCTGCCTTATAAGACCTATTCAAGCATCTCAACCCGCAACTGGAACCCAAGTTTCCAGGTGTACTTCAGAGTGAAGGCATTACTCATAAACCTCATCATTTGAATATGTAAGATTAAATTAGCCACTAGAAGAAATTTCAATGTACCCCTGGGTTACAGATGGGTAGGCAGTTTTATTCCCCGCATTATTCGAATCTAGTACCTGGTTAAGTCTCATCTACTGCATTATTCATTGTCATATTTTTAAATTCTACAAACTTCCTTCAGTTTAATCTACATTTTCCATCTAACCACATCTACCGAGAGAACTAAGTACTGTACAACATTTGAACAGACATCAGTCGATACAATTTACTTCTTTTTTCTCATGACTCCATGAAGCTTTGTCTTTTTTCCTCTACCTCCTCGTCTTAAGGCAGAGTTTGGACACACTGAAACATATGCTTTCCTTAAGCCATATCAGTGGAACTTACAATATAAAAAGACAAGATATCACATAGTCATTCAGAAATATAATTTGAAAACAAAATGGATCTGAAACAAAATGACATGCTAGCTATGTACCCAAGTAATTAGTGGGCATAAGACCTTTAGATATACACCTCCAATGAATGCCAGAAGTTCACTCTGGCCAAATGTCAGTCCTTTTGTGTTTATAATGACTTTGTGGGGCTTTGTCAGTGTTCCCTCCTGCTCTTCCTTAATGCTGGATAACAGAGTTAGCTTCTAGCTGCTTTATAACTGGGCTTTATTAGTTATGACTGCTGTTATTTTTGCTGATGGTTATTCTTTTTGAGTTCTTATATTTCTGAGTGGATGTGGACCATGCATGCCTTCTCCTTCCCATTTATCTCTATACATATGTCACAAGTACAATGCTTAGCCCACAGACACTTTGCTATATTGGTCAGGAGTGCAAAATATTCTTGAACTTGTGTTTTGCTATGTGAAGGGGTGTATGCATACCCCCTTGTAAAGGGGCATGTATGTACCCCTTTCTCTCTGGTGCTTTGTCTCTATTTCGAGTTCTAGCCATCTAATCTGACAGTCTGGCAGTCTGTAAGAGTCTCAGTTTACAAGAGTCTGTATATTTGCCCCCGCCCTTGGTGGGTGGGGTAGGGAGACCCGGACCTGGCCTCTCTCACGGGTCCCAGCCCAGGGCCCTAAGGACAGGCTTTAGCCAGGTTCCTATCTGGCTGACAGGGCTTCCTGCCGCAACTTGCCAGCCCACAGGCTTCTACTGGAGAGCCCCGCCCTGGGCTACTTCCTACCCTGGATATGTCTGGAGGGTGTCGTAACCCTTCCTCAGCACCCGCAACCTGCCCCCCGCCCATGGAGTACAGTCACTCTCTCTCTCTCTCTCTCTCTCTCTCAATTGCCTGTACTTCCCTTACCTCCTCACTCCCTTGCCTCTTCCTCCCTTCTGTCCCAGTTCCCCTTTTTAAATCTCCCACCCCACTTCCTCTCTCCACCCCTCCCCATGACGTCACCTCTGTGTGCCTCCCAAGCCCCCCTTCCTCCTTTTGCATCATTCCTGGAGAGCTTGTGACGATGATGCGGCGCCTGTGACGACACCGTGGCGCCCTGGCCCAGACTGAGATGTAGTTCAGCTGTGCCATGGCGCGTGAACACACGGCACAAGTGGCGCTCCAGCTTCTGCGCTCCCCGTACCGCATGGTGGTCAGGGCGATAGTGCCCTGTCACATGCTATTTCCATTGACTTTATTTTCCTTTTTTGTCATTCTCAGAAATTTAGTTCAATTCAAAGCTAAATGCTAGCAATATAAAGCAATTTTTAGGTGCTATTGTAGCTTGCTGAATTTCCTGGAGGGAAATGATTTTAAAATGGCAGATAGTTGGGTAGAGTAAGAGTCAAACTTACTCTTCTACCAGCTTCTTACTCAGATTGTACATGGTGAGTAATGTCAGTCAGTCTCCATTTTTTGTTGTTGTTGTTGTTTGTTTTCTTAATGAAAATATCCACATCTCATCTTCCAGCCTACAAAAGGCCAGGAGTGAAACAAAGAAGAATCTGTGGTACTTTTCTCTTAATAGATCTCTTCTTGCATTTTCCTTTAAAATTTCTGATCCCTCACTATACAAAAAAAAATATTGTTGAATTGGCTTGAAGGCATTTTCCTTTAAAATTTCTGATCCCTAACTATTGCCTCACTATACAAAAAAATAATAATGTTGAATTGGCTTGAAGAATTTGTACACCATTATTTTTAAGTGAAGGATTAACAAGGGCTGTACAGCAGACTAGGACAGAGATTGCGGCCAGCCCCTGCATGTCTATTTCGCACCCAATCTTTCCCCTTTTCCAGCCCCAAACACAGTGGAAGTTTGTTTATTGGGAGACCAAGGGAGCATACGAACTCTGCAGAGCTGGTAGTCCTGTTGGGGTAGTCTGAGCAAAGAGTAGGAGGAGGAACTCAGGCCATAAGCTATGACTCCTCTTTTCTAACCAGCTCTTCTCATTTATCACAAGCTGCACTCTCTTTATGGGTGGGCCAGTAGCATTATTCCCCAAGGCATTTGGGAGGGTGGTGTCTTTCTGAGAGAATGATCTTTTCACCATTTCTCACCATCCAGAGGTAGGGCAAATCCACATTATTCTGGACATACAGCTGTAATTTAATTCCAAAGTGTAACCTCCAATTGGAAAAGTCAGGAGTTAAAACTATGACTTGTATCTGGACATAGAATATTTCTGAAAGAAATTATGTCAGTGGCAGAGCTGAGGGAATTTGTTCACTTAGAAGTATTCTGTGTGAAAAGGCTGAGGAAAAAGTCTGGGGAGAGGATGATTAAAGATATTTGGTTTTATTATGGTCACTAGTTGAAGCTTGATTACCAGCAAATAGCTTTACACATATAATAGATGCACTAACAGAATTCTGAATACTGATCCATAGTCACATGCTTCATAATAGTATCATCATGTGTTCACTATAATTTCTTACCAGAACACATTGGAGATTGCTAGTTCTAAAGTCACTGAGCTACATAACAGTGACTTCCTAATGTTTTTTTTACCGATCTTTATGTGGTTTTTATGTGATTTTGCATTTACACACACAAAAATTCCCAAAACTAATAATATTACAATGCAAAAATTTAAAATAGCATAGTAAGAATTCACTAATAGTTGGCTCCATGGAAAAAAAGGAAAGGATTCTTGTTATGCCCATTCAGGGTCCCTCTTGCATTCTCTCTAGCTCAGCAGTATTCCTGGCCAAATCATCCAGTTGCTTCTTGCTCATCCACTCCCTGCTTCTCCCCTCATGACTGCGCGCTCTCTGTTCAGGATCTGGCAAACTCTTCAAAGGCAAAATTGATAGTGCACAGCAGGAGCTCTCCACCTGCACTTCCCCTCCCACTCAGTGTAGCCTGTCCTCCTTTCCTTTGTTTCTAATGCTATTTCTCAGCTGTCTGCTTTCCTCCTCCAATTCCTTCATCTATTTTCATGAACCCGTCCCCATCTGCTTCCAGCCCTCCTTAGTTCTTTTGCTCTCCTTCCTCTCTGTCTCTCTCCTCCTGATACTTTCCTTCCACATTTAAGCATGCTGTTGTTTCCCCTATGCTAAAGAAACATTCTATAGACTACTTCTCTTTCTCTTCCTCACTCATCCTGTCTCCCACCTTTTCTTCATTTCTATTCTTCATGAACATACCATTCACTTCCAGTGCTTTGATTTTTTTCTCCTAGTCCCTCTCCAATCTGACATCTGCCTCCACGTTATACTAAAACTGCTTTCACTGTAGTTGCTGATCATCTCTTCCTGGCTAAAATCCAGGGGCCCATTCTCTACTTTAATTTTTGATCTCTCCGGTGCCTCCAATACTGTGGACTTCCCTTCCTTCCTTTTTTCTTCTTCTTTCTCTTCCACTTCCAGGACACCATTCTTCTTGGTGCTTGTCCTGCCTCGTGCATCTCCTTTTTTGGCTTTTGGTGTTTGTTCTTCCTTTTCGTTTTCTCTTTTTTGGGGCCCTCTCATTTTATTTTTTTCTACACTCACATCCTAGCTCAACATCTCTATTCTCATGACTCAGTTGTCAACTAGGTAGAAACTACTCATGTGCAATCTAACCCAGATCTTTCCCCTGCTTTGTAGGCATAGGAATGACTAGACCCGCAGTTTCCTCACATTAAACAAGATTAAAAAGCAATAATCTCATCTTTCCTTTTTAATCCTTTTTCAGCTGGCATTCCTTCATATCTGTAAGTGGGTTCCTCAGTTGTTCCCCCTTTCTTTACGGGCTCACCAGATTCTGGTGGCCAATCGACCATCCATTCATATTCAGTTTGTCTAGCTCTCCCAACACAGTCACTCTTGGGTGTCCTTTGGTCCAAACAGTTGTCACCCTTTATTTTCCTCCTTTGGATGTTCTCCAGGAGCTAGGGGGACCTGGGCCTGCCATCTCTCGTGGGTTCCAGCCCAGGGCCCTAAGGACCAGTAACGTCATGATCTGGTCCAGCTGGTGGGGCTCCTGCCAAACACACCAGCCCATGGGCTATAAGCAGTAAGCCCTGGCCTGGGCTACTTCCTACCCCCACAGGTCTTGCTCAGGCATTCTTGGCTTGTTCCTCTGCTCTGCATGCCTCCTTCCTCGCTGCCCTTCCCCTGACGCTCATCCTTCCCTCTTTTATAGTACCTGTCGTGTCGCTCATGCTCCCTGCCCCTCCCTTTGATGTCCTTCCTCTCCCTTGTCACCCTTAGCCCCCCCCACCTCTGCCATGCCTGCACACCCTCCCCCAACCGTTGCGTCAGGACGCCCTCCCGCCTCCCTGCTCCCCAGTGACACCGTGGCTCAGTTGGGCCGCAGAGTGAGAACAAGAGGTGCAGGTGGAGGGCTGTGCGCTGGGCTCCCCATGTAACACAGGGATCAGGCAGCCTGAGTGCAGGGCAAGCTCGTGCCATCAGAGTGGGACGTAGCTGGCCCATCACAATGTCATATATTAATTCCATCCTCCATGTCATCTAAGCTAGTAAACCTGATGTCATCTTCCTTTTGTTTTCACATAACAGCTTTCAAGTCTTATTGCTCTACTTGAGCATCATCAGAATCTACTCCTTCCTCTCTCTACCTGCCACTAAACTTTAATCCATTACTTTTGTTTATTTTTTGCCTAAACTACCTTCTCCATCACTTACCTCTCAAATCCATTCAACATATTGCTATCACACCCTTTCTTGTCCAAATTTTTTAATGGGAAAAAAACCCATTTGTGTTATGGAAAAATGACTCCAATCTCTGTACTGGGACCCACAGAAAGCCATTTTTGACAAGGCTGCTTACTCAAGGACTTAACTTTCTGATTCTAGGGCTCTTTTATGCTTTCTTCTTTGAAGGGGATGATGGCCCAGATGTTTCAAATAAGTTAGGTGGACAGGAATGAGATAAAATGTGTGCCTGATTTGCATATATGGTTATTTGGAAAGCATGTGCATTTACTTGAGGTTTGTGTGAAGTCACTGTAATTTCATGTATGTAATGAGCTGGCTTTTAGCTCAGAGAGTAGAGGCTCCTATAGTCAGCTCCCGAGGTCCCGGGTTTAAATCCGCCTTGGTGGTGGTTACAGGGGGGGCTCGTCCGGGATCTCAACTGGGTGTCGGAAGCTCGGGACGCGCTTCCTCACCTAGGAGAATTATGTAACCCACACACCTAGTGTGGTTACTGAGTACTGCAAGTGGCACCTAGACCACTGCAACAGTTAAGATCAAAAGGCCTCTACAGCATGGGCTGGGAGCCCATGGGCTTTTAGCTCAGAGGGTAGAGGCTCCTCTAGTCAGCTCTCGAGATCCCAGGTTCAAATCTGCCTTGGTGGTGGTTTCATGCTCACATATTGTACATAAGAAATTGCCTAGTTTATTTCAACTGTTCAGTGGCTCTTCATAGAATTCAATTCCTGTTCTTAGTTTCATCATCCCTGTCCATACTCCTGTGAAGCCGAGTTCCATAAAAGTAAGTCCTACTACTCTATAATCACATAGGGTTCTTCCTAGATGTTGAATATCAGGTATTCATCACAGTGTGCACATAACAGAATTCCCTTGGCCTTTGATTTATTCAGACAAGTAGTATCAAATAGTTATGTTACTTATTTCAATAAAAAAGTACAGAACATTTCTCAGACTATATAAACTGAGTAAAAAGTAAACTAGGGACAAAATGCATATTAGAATGCACTTGTACTACTTGCACTGGCCTCAGTATAGGAATCTCAGTTTAAGTATGTTCATAGCTATATTCCCATAATATTGTAGTACCTAATTAATATGGTGCTTCTTTGAGACAAGAGGACCCGTGAATCATTCTCATTATATATGTCATGCTATGGCAAGAAAAGGGACTCGAGTGCATCAGTGATTCTGTTTGAGGTCAGGGAACAAATGACGTATCAATCATGATTTTCCCCTTATCTGACTGTCTCAACTTGGTGGCTTTGTTGTGGCTCGTTGGCCAAATAGGTAGATGCAATTACTTGGCTTTACTACCACAGAAAAGAAGATGCAATTACTTTACAGCTCACATCATTCAGGGATCCAAATTCTGGTGTGAGCAAATGATAGAAAAGGCAAAATGGTGAGAGTTTTAAACCAGCTTTTCTCTCATGGGACAGGAAGGCTTGTGGGATAGCTTGGACCTATGAGTTCACAGATATTAGGTACATAGAGTGAAATCCTTGGGATGTGGGAAAATGCATTGTAGGATATCTACCCACACTGAGCTATGGGATTAGATGTACCAGTTACAATGGCATGAGACTATGTGGTCCTCATAAGAAAATATCCATGAGACTAATGAGCTACAGTACCTAAAGGCTATGTCTACACAGCAGTGTTATTTCAGAACATCAGTTATTCCGAAATAATGTAGAGCATGTCTACACCACAAAATAAATTCGAAATAATGGGAGTCTTACTCTGACTTTTGTAAACCTCATTTAATGAGGAGTAAGGGAAGTCAGGGGAAGAGTGCTATATTTTGAAATAACTGCTGTGTAGACAGTGCCAGAAGTTGAAAGAATCTATTCTGACTTAAGTTACGCAATTAGCATAGCTCAAATTGTGTAGCTTATTTCAAATTTAGCTATGCTGTGTTGACATGGCCAAACTGTGTATGGATGCATAGTTAAGATTCATCTATTGTTAACCACGTGTTGTGTGAGCTGTCATTTTAGACAACTGAGTCTGTCACCATTTAACAACATGGGTTAAAGCAGTGGTTCTTAACCTTACTGCAGCCTGCACCCCTTTGATTCTCAAAATGTGATCTCACACCCCTTATTAAAAATCATTGAAGTAGGTCAGTTCTTTAAACCTAAGATATATCATAAAAATCTGTCCTGTTTCACACCCCCAGAAAGGGCATCTCGCACCCCCAGGAAGTGCGTGCACCCCAGGTTAAAAACCACTGGTTTAAAGGATTGTTTTGTGTACATAACCTCTCTTTTCTAAAAGAATCATGTTTCTCTGTCTCCTAGCCTTCCTCATCTCCCATTTCCACATACCTGGATATTTGAGACTACTTTTTTGGCCTGCTGGACAATATGCTGCTATGATGAAAATCAAAAGTAAAAAAGAAAAATTGAGAGCAGAAGAACTTTCAAATGAGTTGGCTTTATGAGCACATTGCAAACCCATGTGTCTGAGAGAATAACTTGGGGCATGTATTTTCATCTCTTGTATAAACTAGTGAATGATATTGCTGCTTTTATATCATTGAAAAATAAAACATCTTAGTGCTAAGAAACAATTTGAGAAAAGATTAATTTCAAGGAGCACCCAGGACAAATTTTGAGAAAGGTGTTCAGAATTGTTTCGAGTTGAAAGTAAAATTTGTTTGGTATGCTCATTTCGAGGAAGAATAACTTAAAATTAAGAGTAAGAGGGTGTTTTAAAGAAGAAAATAGGTGAATGAATATTTGATTCTTCTGTTAATGTTCACAATAAAACTGAAAGCATTATTTATATTTCCTATGCAGCTTTCATCATTGAAAGGACTTTGCAAAGCCAAAATGACACATTTAAAAATCTCTTCGGAGAGTTTCTAGCTTTCAGGTCACG